TTCTGCGACAGCACCTCTCTGAGCCTCAGTTTTGTCTTCAGTAAAACGAGGATAACATCTTCATGGGGCTGTTGGGAGGGTAAATGAGCTAAGGAAAGTGAACTTGCTAAAAGCAACACAGGATCCGACTGGGTCTTGGAATGGTAAAAGGACATTAGTGGAAAGGCTGACGAAATCCAAATAGAGTCTGGAGTTAAGTTAATAGTAATGTACTGATGTTAATTTTTTAGCTTTGATGAATGTGCTGTGGTTAAGTAAGGTAGTAATTAGGGGAAACTGGGTGAAGGGCATACTATCTTTGTAACTTTTCTCTAAATCTAAAATTATTCGAAAATGAAAAACTTTAAAAATGAACCTGCGTTATAAATGATAGTGTTACCCAAATGTGAGGTGGTTTTATTTCAAATATCTTTTGCTAGATTATTAGGTTTATTGAACAAGTGTTTATTGAACAAATAGTCATTGAATACCGTTTTGCTAAGCCCTATGGACAAGGTAAAGAAGTAGAAAAGTAGTCATCTGCCCTATAATCTGCTTCAGGAAAAGAAGCTGAAAAGACATCATCAGCCAAGTACCAACCAACACAGCAGGTGTCACAGGGGCTTTGTGGCTTAGCTGAGACCACAGGTGCTGTAGGCTTTGCAAAGGAGATCAGTCTGGGCCGAAGTGGTAGGGAGGGCCTTCAGGAGGAGGGCTGAGCTGAGCAAAGACCTGGAGGCAAGAACATAGTAGGTAGAGAATAGAAATAATGAAAAATGAAGGAAATGAATTTGCCCCCATTCTCAAGAAGGGTACTGTCTTTTGGGGAACATAAGTTGTACACATCAAATAATTAGGATTTAAAAGAGGATATTGGCTATATTGAATAGAGCTAAAATGTAAAATACAGCAATTCTCTAAGGCCTGATGAAATTGTAAGTTCTTGTCTTTGACAATCCATTTTTTCTCTCTACTTGAAGTCACATCATGGCTCGGTGATGGTGCTCTGTCACTGGTTTACCAGGTCACTCTGGACCAGCAACTTAATTGTCTGAACTTTAGTTTCTTCCGTCTATAAGCTGATGGGGCAGACTTACCTCTGAGGTTCTTTCAAGCTCTCATGTTCTAAGAATGTGTGTGTATGTACATACACACATACACAGTCTTTGAGAGCAGAAGAGTATAAACATGGACACACAAAGTCTGTCAGTGCTAGAATATCTGGCTTTCATATTCTATTTCCAAATCTAAACATGAGGTGCAGCACAAAACTCTTAAACAGATGAGCTACTCCAGTGAGTGAAAGGCTCTCGGATAGGTCTGTGGACAGATGCAGTCCTGGTGGGAGCCCTTCTAACTACATTTGCAGCTGCAGGATCCAAATAGTGTTGATTGGAGGGTCTTTTCCATCAGTGCGTTGCGGGGCTCTGCTTTTTTTTTTTCCTGGTCAATAATTTTATAATCACTATTTTAATAAGCAGTACATATTTGTTATCAACACTTTAAAAGTATAAAAGCTTAAACTATGTAAAGAAAGTCTTCCTATTCTAGTCCTCCAGCCTCCAGTTCCCTCCTCAGAGGCTGTCACCTTTGTGATTCTTTCCAGGATATTTTTTAAATATACAGGCATATGCATATATACTCTTTAAACACACACATAATATATATGCTGTCTGCACTTTCCCACTTAATAATTATTCGAGAAGTTGTTCTGTAGAACTTGAAGCCAACTTGAGCTTTGCCCCTTCCCTTTCCTGCTAGCCACAGCCAAAGAGGGGGACAATTTTAGTATCAATAAGAACAGTAATCACAACAGGTTGAAATATTTTAATATATTTAAATCTAAGAACCCATAGTGATTTTTAAGCAAAACAAAATTTCTTTTTTTGTTGTTGTTTTTTTTTAAATTTATTTTTTATTTTTTAAGTTGTATTTTTCAATTACAGTTTACATTCAATATTATTTTGTATTAGCTTCAGGTGTACTACATACTGGTTAGATAATATTATACTTTACAGAGCGTTCCCTTCAATATTTCCAGTCAAAATGTCATTGTTTATTTTTGGAGGATATGAGGAAATCAAGTCATTATTCTGAAAACTGGTAAATAGAAGGAAAGACTCAAGCATTTTTCCTGCCTTTTCTTTACAAACTAGACCCCAAGATAGGTGATAAGGCAAAGTTTCTCTTTATAGGCATGATAGAATTAGAATATTACTGTTTTGCAGACTAACCAATTAATGGATTTAGGTAGTAATCATCAGTGGCTGCTAACATGGCAGCAGAGACACAACCAGACATCCCGTTCCTCCTGTACACAAACACTGGATGTATGCAGAAATAAAGAGTATTAGAATGAACTCATCACCTCTCTTCAGCCATTATTCATTCATGGCAATTTTAATTTTATCTACCACCCCTCCCCCACCTCTCTTCATTGCACCCATTCTCACTTCCCCCTACCTTTTAATTATTTCATTTAAATTTTTGATATTGCCCAACTGTGATCCATAGAGGTTCTCACAATTTCTACTCCTACCAGCAGTATGCGAAAATGTATTTTTCTTATACTGTTGTCAGTGTGTGGTTAAATATTTTACACTTGTCAATCTGAGGTTAAAAGATGGTATTTCATTATATCCTTAAATGGCATTTCTTGTCTCATAATTGAGGTTCAGCATCTTTTCAGATGTTTAAGGGTAATTTGTATTTCCTTAACTGTGAAGTGTCTCTGCAGATTTTTGGTCTTTTTTGTGTTGATACGTAGAGGTTCGTTGCATATAAAAGAAATTAGCCATTGGTCTGTATTATGAGTTGATAATTTTTCCCAGTTGTCATTTTTCTTTTGATTTTAATTTTGCTTATGGTGTTTTTTGTTTCTGTTTTTGCCATTTAGATTTTTAAAACATTTTAATCATCAGTTTTTTATGACTTCTAGATTTTGTGTGATATTTCAGAAATCCTTTTCACTTTGAGATTATAAAAATATAAAGTGTTGTAGCTTTATAACATGTGTTAATACTTCAGAGATCTAACCCCCATTCCCACTGTTACGCATACACACAACACTTCGTCTTTAGAACTTCCATGGCTATTCTTCTGTGTTTAGTTGTCCTTATAATTTTTAGAATGAATTTATTTAGTTCTCAAAAATGTCATGATGGTTTTTTTATTGGAATTGAGTAAAATTTATAGATTTGCATGAAGAGAATTGCCACCTGTTGTGTTTTACTAACTCATCTGAGATAGAATAGAAATATTTCTTGCATTTATGTTGGGGAAACATCAGTTGAACAAGATGTAGTTATTTATCAAACAACGAATTCAGTCTTTGTGTTAGACCGTATATCATTTCCTGGGGAGAAAGCAAGTAAATTAATTGTAGTAGTCCCTAGGCTCTTATCCATTGGTTAAGGCCAAGCTTGGCATCACATCATGTGAAAAAATTTTAGTTTCAGCCAACCTCCAGTCTTGTATTAGCCAATAGGGCCATGTGGTTGCTTCTGTGTTTAGTTTTCCTTATCATTTTTAGGGCCATGTGGTTGCTTCGGGGTTATTGCAACCTTGAGTGGCATTAGGGGATATACAGAGAGGGGGAAGTAGAGGGTAATTAGTGAGTGGTTCAGGCTCAGACAGCAGGGGTGCCTTGTGACCTTGGCAGGTTATTTAATTTCTTTGGGCCTCAGTGTCCTCAACTGTAAAGTGAGGGGATGTTAATTGTACCTAACTCATGGGGTCGTGTGTAAATGAGAGAATTCAAAATGCTTTTGCACTTTGCCTGGTACATGCCAGTGTCCTATAAATGTTAACTAATATCATTTATTGGAAATGTGACTCCACTGGTCTGATGGTATCTGATTCATTATACTCAGTTCCAAGTGTCATTATTCAGCAAAGGCAGTAGAAAAAGATCTCTACAAGCGGGGTGGTAAGAAGAGGGTGGTAAGAAGAGGGTAGGCTAGAGACATTAAAGAAATTGTGGGCCTTTTTACTGGAAAAGAGAAGGCGAATGAGGAAAAGGTGCCCAGGGACTAAGACCAGCTAGTGAAATTCAGCTTAACGTGAGAAAAAACTTTCTGTCAGCTACATTTGTTCAGCAATGGAAAGACTCTGCAGTGAGCTGTCAGAAGAAATGTTCAAGAGGAGTCTGGGTAGCCATTTGCTAAAGAAACTGCAAAAAGAATTCCTGAATTAAGACAATGAGGCTAAATGACAAACAACTAAGGCGTTTCCCTACAATATCTTAGTATAAGTGCACCCAAATGCAATCTCATATATAGAAAATTCTCTGCATAGGGCTTATTCATTTTCAAAGAATTCTAATTCTTTGAAACCTTTTGATCCTTTTTTGAATGTGAGTGCCGTGGGGTCCTTGTCAACGTCCGTGACCATCAAAGAAATGAAGATACGGAGAAATAAGGAGACTCGGGAACAGCTTGTTTCACTCCATTTCCTCATCTCTTTTTACCTTGGAGACAAGTCTCGCTCATATCTTTGGAGCCCCATCCCTTTCATCTAGAGTATTAGTCCTTGCTCTCCCTACTCTGAGCGTGAGTCTTTAAAAGAAAAAACACATTCTTAGAAGTCTTCTGCCTCTTCGTGTGTGTGGAGCTTTTTGAAGGAAGGTGCTGTTTGCATCCAGCAGACAAATGACAAGTTTAAACAAAAGTGTATGCCCTATAAGCTTGGCCTTGCTCCATTGAGCATCAGTGCACTTCCCTTATCTTTCCTGCTGCTCTCTTATTTCCATAAGTATAAACATGGCATGTTGGAAGAATTTAATAAACTTATATAAGAAGGAATATTTAATAACCTATTAAGATCCATCTCTCAATTTTCTTCTGGCAGGCCATTACTGACTTGCCTTAATTTCCAAACTTATGTCCTGTAAAAGTTTTTTGCTGTCACTGGATACACGCATGGTCACATTGTAGGTACTGTTATCACATCGGGGAAAACCTAATAAATGTGAACACAAGTCTTAGTTGATGAAATCTAAAATATGATTTCTATATTTTTAGTGAATGATGAACCTGCTGGAGCCACTGATCCTGAAGAACCTTCTGTAGTTGGTGTGACACCCCCACCTGCTGCCGTATCGAGTGTTACCCCGAACCCCACCACGGCATCTCTCCCTGCTCCGGCCACGCCACCTGAAGGAGAGGAGCCCAGCACTTCGGGCACACAGCAGCTCCCGGTGGCTGCCCAGGCCCCCGATGCTCTGCCTGCTGGGTGAGTAGCCTTCTGTCCTACAACAGTGCTTTCCATCCCTCCAAAGACCGAGGCCCCTTCACCAGGGCAGAAACAACGTGGTTATTTATTACCTAGCGGCTAGGAGTCTCTGGGAGGCTCTGTGCTCAGGACTGAGGGAGGTGTGGAAGAACTGCTTGTTCTGCATAAATCTTCAAGAGAATCTAAATCATGTGGGGCAGAATCAATGCTACCTTATACTGTGACCAGAAATGAACAGCTTGGCCCCAAGAGTGTGGCTTTTATAGAACAAGAAGCTTATTTTGCCTTCCGAAATCACTGGAGGGTGTTCGCCGAGATCCTGCCTAGGAAACAGCTTTTCTCTCTTGAATTCTATCTTAACGGCCCATGGAGGACTTCAGACTCTGAATATTAGTGTATGTTATCTCCGTAACTGGTGCTGGTATTAACATGGGCTGCTAGTTTCCTTGCCCTCTTTCAGTTCAGAATTAAATCTGATGGTAAAGACCTTGGATGCTGAGAAGATGACCCTAGTAAGCCAAAAGGAAGTTCAATTTTGGCTATATAGTGAGTGGAGATTAAAAGCATAGACCCAGGAATCAAATCTGCCTGGGTTTGAATCCCCACTTGACCCTATTTGACCTTGCCTGAGTGGCTGAGTGGGTAAGGTGGAGATAAATAATCATGCATATCTCTCCAGGAGGTTAGGAGGCTCAAATAAGACTGTGTATGTGAAGCACTCATCCAGTGGTAGGCATTGCACCTGGTGAGTGATGTATTTGAAGGGGTTGTGAATGGTTCTGAACTGGGAAATGAAGGGTCCCGCTGTCCATCATGGTTATCAGTTTGTTACTGAGGAAACCAATGTCCATGTTGCCGCGGTCACCATGGTCTGGCTGGTGGTGGTGGTGGTGTGTTGGGGGAGTCCTCTGAGCCCTATAACTCATAAAGGCAAAGGGAAAGGTAGACGGTTTCTTGCTTGGTGTATAATATGCTGTATTGTTCTTAAGCTACTTTTGAAAAACCCAATTGTTAAAACAAAAACCCTAAATCTGCAGGCACATGAGATTTTTACTACATACATGTTGCACCCTTACCATTTGGCACACTGCCTGACGCATATTTCATGATAAAGTGTGATGAACAAATGGAAAATATTGCAAACGGTTCTTAATACCTCAAGCCTGGAGCGAACTGGGGGTGCGGAGAGGTGGCTCTGAGAAGTTTCTTTGTGAAGTTTTTGATTTCGTGGAAAGATGAGTAACCAGTTGCTGTGTCCAAGTCCTCCCTACTGAGATTTCTTTTCTCTCTTGTATGTGGTAAAGACTACTCGGAGGACCTTCGTTTGGTTTATAATTTCTAATCTGTATATAATTTGGGGGGAACAGAGCAGAATCATTTTGGCAGAAAGGAGAGAAAATGGTGCGGTCTGTGTCCCCTGTGAGCTGTTTGTTTTCTTTCCGCTGAGCAAATGCCTGGAAGGCCGGCTTCACTCCTGTGTCAGTCACAGGCAATTAGGGCTAATGGCTCAACGTGTCTTTATGTAGGGCGTGTGTGAGGGTTACTGTTTTCTGGGATTGGGCTCTTCCTGTTTCCAGGCAGCTGGAAAACTCCAGACTCTGAAAACGCTCTTTATTCTAAGTTTGGCCGATGGAGTGGCCCAGGGAAGTGATTCTCCTCCCTCACCCCGCCAGAGGCTGCAGCACTTTCCTGAGGTAGAGTTTGGGCAGCATCTTTTCCTTAGAGTGTTTAGAACATGACAAGGTCTGTGTGTGGCTCTGGCGAGGCCGCTGCCTACTTTAACACGTGTGCCCGTCCAGAGAAGGGCATTGGGACCCAGTTTTCCAACCTAAGGTCCCCATCCCTAAGACCTCAGGGAGCCCCGGAGATCCTGAGCTGCCTACCTGGAGGATACCACCAGCGCTGCTGAGTGCAGGGCAGTGAGAGAGGCAGGCTTGCAGTTCTCTGTTCTGTCAAAGCCAGAGAGGGCACATGCTCTACAGTGACCCTTGCGATTCATAGACCTACGCTCCCCACCAGCTCATTTACAAGTTTAGGGGATCCAGATGAGTTGGGTTATTCCTTTACTCCTGTGATTATGGCTTTAGGAGTCCGGGGACCGAGTTGAACCATTTTAAATAAAACTCTGAGCCTGATATTTCACCACATTCTAAGCTGCATTGGCTTAAGGAGGTGATTTTCAACCTCTATGCCGCAGACATTTTTTTTTTGTTCATAGTTTTATTATTTTATTTACTCATTTTTTAATTGATTTTAGAGAGAGGGGGAGGGGGAGGGAGAGAGAAACATCGATTTGTTGTTCCACTTATTTATGCATTTATTGGTTGATTCTTGTATGTGACCTGACTGGGGATCAAACCTGCAACCTTGGCATGTTGGGACGATGCTCTAACCGACTCAGCTACCTGGACAGGGAAGAATTTTTAAAACATGTAATACCTGACTATTTAGTCAGGGGCACTGGCCTCTTTTCCCTTAGATTGGCATTAAAAATGACAGCAACCAACACAACAATAGCCATCTGGTGTGAGTGAATCAAAATTATACTTTTTTTTTGAAATGTCAGATTGGCAAAAAGTATATTTTTTGGTGTGCTGCAGAATTTTAGTAATTAGTTTACATGTGCCCTGAGATGAAAAAGGTTGAAAATCGCTGTCTTAGGGATAAATTCTCAAATTTTTAATGAGGCCTAAAAAGCCCTGCAGGAAAGGACCCCTCAAGCCTTCATTCATAATAATTTATTTCACTTGGACAAATGTACCACTCTTTCTCTGTATTTGGGACCCTCAGCCATGCTGGTTGCTGTTTCTGAAACCTTAATTCCTATCCATTTTCAGTACCAGCACTTCCTCTGGGAATTCTTCCTTGATCCCTGGCAGACAAGGTCAAACCGTCCTGAGTGCTGTAATTCTGCTCACACGTGTAATTGCTTGTTTCACGTCTCTCTGCCCTGCTGGGCTGTAAACGCCAAGATGGCAGGGAGCCTGGCACAAAGTAGGCCCCCAGGACATATTTGTAAAGAATAAATTTAAACACCGTCTTTTTCCCCTCTCCAGTTGGATGAATGTTTTCTGCTTCTTCGATACCTCAAATACAGAGCAAGTGGGACAGGAGTATTGCAATTTTTTCCCAAGAGCAAGAGCTTAAGGCATCATGCACTGAGTCGACTGGCTTTGGGTTTAACTGTGCGTCGCTCACCAGGTTTTCTTCCCTGCTCAGGAGGGGGCTTCCTGCCCTGGGAGGTACCGTGGAACATGTCTCCTCTTTGCTGAGGCATTCCTGAGTTACCTAGAGTGCTTTTTCAAGGCATCCAGCTGACTTTGTCTCTTTCCAACTTGACCTTCTCAAGTCCTGCAGTCTCCTTCACTGAGCAATCGAGCAAGGTTCACTTGGGGATCCCAAGGGCTTATTTTTCTAGTTGCTGTGTTGCTTTCTGCAGTTTGCAGCAGATGAGGCGGGTCATAAAGAGGCACACATCTGTATGATTTTTGGCTTGTTTGTTTGTTTTTAATCCTCACCTGAAGACATGCATAGAGAGAGGGAAAGAGAGAGAAATGTCAGTGTGAGGGAGAAACATCGATCACTTGCTCCTGTACACTCCCCAACTGGGGATCAAACCTGAAACCCTGGCATGTGCCCTGACCAGGAATCAAACCAGCAACCTTTTGGTGCACTGGACGACATAGTCAGCCACCTGCACCACTCTGGCCGGGCTGTATCTATGTTTTAAGGAGTGAAGGCTACCTAAGACTGGGCTGCATAAACCCAAATAGAACACCTCTAATCCCGTTTCTCCCTGTCTCCAAACTCTCCAGCTTTGTGTACTTTTAAATTTAATTAGCATGAAAGAAGCCAACTGGAAGGGTGTCTTCGTTTTCAGCTTGCAAATGTCCGTTCATGGAGGGCCGCCAGGAAGGCTCAGGAGACATGGTGAGATAGTGGTCCAGGCAGCGGGCAATGGGGAGCGAGGCCACTTTGATCAGTTGGCCCTGCATCTGGTTTTTATCAGCACCGAGCCCACTTTGGGGACTGAATGCTCATTAACAGACCCTCTGTACATGGCTTAGATAAACTCCAAGCGCGTCCCAGGCTTTGCAGCTCGCGCAGTGCCTCGCACACAGAGGCACATTATTTCACCCTGGCAGCCCGAGCTCTGCTGTGGTTTCTTATATAAGGGAGGCCCTTGTGTTTGGACGGCCGGTTTACCTCAGCACTGCCATTTCACACATCCCTTTGCTCCCGCAGTCATTGGCTGCCTGTCCCTTTCCTGCCTCAGAGTGGAATTAATTGAGGAGGGAGGGGTGTTTTCTAGAGTTTTTAGATGTGCCACCTCCCCTGCCACCACACCCAGTTATGGAGACCCAGAGGCCCTTTCTCCAGTGGTCTCTGAGGCACGATCAAGGATGACAACCTTGTAAGAGTTCATCGATGTCTTGTTTGTAGAGACGCTTGAAGAGACCTTGGAATGTGGAGCTTCTCTGCTAAGTTAGAAACCAGCCGCTGCCATTGATTTTCATTCCAAACTCAATTTTGACACTAGCCAAAGATTCTTACCCGAGGAGTTTTAGACAGTGCTTCTCAAACCATCTGTGAAGACCAGTTCTTTTTTTTTTTCTTTCTCCCCCCCCACCAGTCGTTACAAATCCTTATTTCTGTTCTCTATTTAGTGAGACACGTTTCGATGTGGCAACGTCAAATTGGCACGAAAGCTTCTAAATGCTTAGAAACTTCTGTACTTTTCTGGTGGCTGAACAGTAACCGTTTGGGCTGCGGACCGTACTTTGAGTAGCACCATTTAAAAGGATTATACTGGGAGAATCTGCCTTTTTGCTGAATATGGTTTAGTTTTTTACTTACATGCTTAGGTAATACCCAGTATTACGTGTTCCTGACTTCCTCCTCATCATCTCAGAGCAAAAGCGGTTTCCAAAGATCCCGCTGTTGGGGCTGGCCCAGGAGACGCCCTCTCCTTCCTATATGTGTGCACTCGTGTGCCAGTG